TACGTCGGGCGGGCTCAGAAGAAAGCCGAGCGCCAGCAGGAGCTTAAACGGAAATTCGAGCAGCTGAAGATCGAGCGTCTGAATCGTTATCAAGGCGTGAATTTATACGTGAAGAATCTGGACGACACGATCGACGATGAGCGTCTGCGGAAAGAATTTATGCCGTTTGGCACGATCACGTCTGCGAAAGTGATGATGGAGGAAGGACGTAGCAAGGGTTTCGGCTTCGTGTGCTTCTCACAGCCGGAGGAAGCTACTAAGGCAGTTACCGAGATGAACGGACGCATCGTAGGTTCCAAGCCTCTCTATGTCGCTTTGGCGCAGCGTAAGGAGGATCGTAAAGCACACCTCGCCTCTCAGTACATGCAGCGCATGGCGAACGTGCGCATGCAGCAGATGGGTCAGATATTCCAACCCAGTAATGCCGGCAGTTACTTTGTGCCTACGCTGCCACAGCCGCAGCGATTCTATGGACCTGCTCAAATGGCGCAGATTCGCGCGACACCGCGCTGGCCGGCCCAACCGAATCAAGTACGACCGAACGCTCAGACTGGCACCTCCGGGTTCGCGTCGATGCAAGCTGCACCGTTCCGTGCGGCGCCGCGCGCTCCTGCCGCACAGGCTACCCTGCGTAACAGCATGTCCGCCAGACCTATCACAGGTGATTATTACAGTTATCACAAAATTAGCCTTATGGAATGCGTACGATAATAATTAAATCTTCGTATTTATATTATTTATATTATTTATTTTGTTATATTGAGTTGGTTTTAAATATCAAACATATTAATTTTAATAAAGATTCGAAAAGCTTTATATTTTTGACCGCTTTCGAATCTGAAAGTGGGAATTTATAAATGTCTTTAAGAGGTTGAACAATTAAGAAATTTTTAGCGAGATATCTGAATGTGAATTGATCTGCGTGTGATTTTCAAGATGTTTTAAAAACATAATTCGTATTTGTTGACAAAATTTACTTTCTGTTCATATTTGTATCTGTAAATAGAAGGCTATTTTTTAATGTGACAAAAAAAAGATATATTTTTAAATAATATGTAATTTAAATAATTTTATCGTTTATTATATAAAGATTACTATCTATGAATCCATTAAATTTCTTCTATACCTACGATTATTTTGGCATCTACTAAATCATAAAATTTTATTAATTACATAATTTAATGACTGTTTTTCGATAAAAATAGATAAATAAAAGATAAGGAGTAATAAACTTTAGAAACTGACATTATGCTTTTAAAAATTACAAAAATCTAAAATAGGTAAAATAAGTATATATTGATTAATATTTTTTACAGATGCAGGTTTTGCATTGTTTTGCAGTTTATTAGTAATGTTATATTATCCTTTTTACTCGCATAAATTTTTTGTCGAACATGAATTCGTAAAAATTGGGTCTAATAATATTTAAACTGACTTGAAAAGACATGCTAAATTCTTAGGTATCGATAATAGATTTATAATTTATATATGAAGATATGTAAGAGTATATGTATGTTTCGTGTTTACATACATTTCTATGTATGTATAAAGATGTATATAAACACAGAACATATAGAAATAGATGTGTGTTGTATTGTCTATAATAACAGTCCTCCAAGAATTTTAAACATTTGAGATTCGTAACGTTTAAGAGATTTTAAGACTCCGGACATCTTCGAGACATTGACCGAAATTAGAGACTTTCATCCACAGAAAAATAGCTTAACAACCGAGTAGTTAGACTTTTCGAAGGAATAAAATGTCGAGTTTGTGGAAATGTTTATTAAATTGTTCAAGTATTATTGAAAGTGTTTATAGTGTTGTGAAAAACTTGAGTCAGTCAATTTCATATGTGTAGCGGCGTAATGATACATCTAACGTGATGATATTCTTTCAACCGATCCAACGTGATCGTAATACTTGCTTCTTGTATTGAATTGTAATTGTAATTAATTCTTTTACGGTCACTTCTTTATGCATTATCTAATTACGAGAAAATTAATAAACTTTTCTTCAGAAGAATGGAACTATGTATTACGCGATATGTGTGTTCGACATATAATTTCCAGTATTAATTTTGCAATTAAATGAATAACTGCTCAATTATTGTTGCAACAATACAATTGCCACAACATTACTACACTAATTTGTAATATTATATATTATAATGACATTTATTTATTAGCGAAGATTATTACAATTGACAAATTCTCTCTGTTTTAGGTCAACAAACGATTGGTGGCGCCAACATGCAAAATCGTTCCATGACTGGACCAGCCGTTGGCGTCTCGCCCGGTCAGAGCCGTCCGTCGAACTACAAGTACACCGCAAATATGCGCAATCCGCCGCAGGCGGCCATGACTCTACCTGCACCGAGTGGTCCTCCTGTGCAGCAGGCGGTTCACATTCAGGGTCAGGAGCCGCTCACCGCGTCGATGCTAGCCGCGGCGCCGCCACAGGAGCAAAAGCAAATGCTAGGGGAACGGTTATTCCCTCTGATCCAATGTATGTATCCACAATTGACCGGCAAGATCACCGGTATGTTGCTGGAGATCGACAACAGCGAGCTGCTTCACATGCTGGAGCACAGCGAGTCCCTGAAGGCCAAGGTCGAGGAAGCCGTGGCCGTATTACAGGCTCATCAGGCCAAGCAAGCGGTCGCGCCGAAAAAGGAATAAGCGTTATAACGATAATTCTTTATTTATAATTTGTGAAAATCTCGATTGTTTTTGAATTTGATTCTATGTACACGCGATGTTATCCCTTCATTTATTTTTTATTTTTCTGAATTTAACTTAATCATCTAAGTATGTTTATGTAACGAATTTACTTTCAAAGACGTAATCGGCAGGTTCAGATTGACTGTCGCTTGAGAAGATGAGAAATGTATGCTCTTTTCACGATGTAAAATTTTAGGAAGGGAGAATACTTCCAGAGGTTGTGCCATTCTTGGTATATCTTTGGATATGGAGAGTTGCGAGCACTTATAAAGAGTCAGTGGAAATTACCGTTCGCCTAGCATTTGGTTACCAAGAAAAAACAAAGTGTGAAAAGATTTCCAATCCTAAAATTTTACGATAATAAATTTTTCTTTCAAGATATACGCGATCGGCGTTTAGCGGGTGTAACAATTAATCTGTTTGTTGTTGATATTAGTGAGAAATTAATTTGGTTTTAGAGATCTAGTGGTGGATTGTATAACTCCAGAGGCGATCATTGCCTAATGGTGTCTATAATTGTTACATCTACTGAATGTAATTTTTTTTTATTCCCTCCCCTTTTCTATTTCCCTTCTCGAAACAAACAAAATTGTTCCTAAATCAAGAAAACTGTTAAATAAGATTTACACTTTAAAGCATGTAATATAGCTTAAATATCAATGTTATATGCAATCTATATGTTTGTCACAGTTTATCAGAAGACAGATAATTGGTGCTTAGTTTACGTTCTGCAAATCTGTCGCAGCTGTAAGATGATACGTGTGAGATAGGAGCAGATAGGAGTCATAGGATCTCAGCTATCATTCCAGTCACTAAATTTGACCTTCGATATATCTTACGTACTTTATTGCATCATCTTTTGCTCCCTTTTTTTTAAGTTCTTGATAAATATTTCATTCTGAATGTTTGATTGTGGATGTAAAGATAATGTATACGATGTACATTTGCACATTTGTATATGAAATTTAGATTATCCTTATATAAACATTAAAAATGAAATAAAATAAATGTAATATATATCGTTCATTTGCTGCGATAATAACAGTTACGTATTATCTCTTCCTTCGATGTATTGAATTCTCACCGTTCTTTTACAAACAACTTACAAAAATGACTTTGAGTTATGTTATTGTAGCAAATGAACTGGAAATATATATACATATATCTTTCAATCTGTATAGTCGCGCACGAAGCACTTTCAGGAGATCAGGCGAAATAAATGAAGGTCAATTAACTTTGGGCGAAATTTTAACAGAATTTATATAACTTAAAATCCTTAAAATACTGATGCAATTGTTACCCAATCGAGCCTGACGCTTAACGAAGATTCTTTTGGTAGAAAAACGTTACATTTTTCATATTATTAATTAGAATTTCCAAAGATCTTGAAAATTTCAAGACTCAGAATTTTTCAGATTCTTTATACGTATCGGAACGGTTTTCAGAAAAACTCGACAAAATAATAAAATATTTCAGATTTTTCCCCTCAACACGTCTGAATAAAAAAAAAAGAAAATCCGCGCAAAAAATTTCAAATACAGATAGACACAACACTTCGCAGAACACGTGAGGCTTTCAAAGACCCACTCGATATTTCCATTTCGAATTTTACGGAGATTTTACGAACTCATAAAAAAAAACCCAAACAAGAATCAGGCATATATATAACGGTATAAATAATAGATTCTTAAAGCCTCTGAAAGTACGCTTGAGTTTTTTCAGATTTTTTATGGTACCAATTAGCTTGGAAAATCTTAACCGGCATAAAAGACCCCGGGTGTTCGACGAAAGCAGCAGAATACACGTGGTTCTGAGAAGGGTTAAACATTTCGAAAATCCTCATCCAATTGTTTCTGAAAGTATCTGAAAAATTTGATAATTTCTTCTGAATTTTTTATAAATCTAGAAATATGAGAAATTCTTAGAAAATTTCTGATTAATTAAATACGAGAAATTTTTTAACCAGGGTTTGTCGCACAAAATTACTTTATTCGGGTATTTAAAAAATTAAATAAAGGTTCTTATGTATTTCTGCTTTTTTTTTTATATATGCTACATGTATTTCTAATTTGACTCGATAAGAAAGTTGGACTCGGTCACAATTCGCGCGAGCATCCGATTTCAAACAAATATCGGCATCGCGTGGTAAAAAGGGCGGGAAACCGCTCGCCCGATTTCATTGGAAACTCGTGGCCCGCGCGGGAGGGAAGCGGTCATATTCTTTTTTCCAATTACCATCTCGCATTTCCGGGAAGCAGGCATCACGTGATTGGCGGACGCGTCACGACCCACTTCGCCGAGAGTGCGCCGAGTGTCAGCGAGCGAATCGGCCGTTGCGGTGTGGTGTTGTGTTGCGCGGGAGAAGTGGAGAATTGGAGAAGTGGAGAGCGAGCGAGCGAGATTGGCGAGAAAGAGAGAAGAAAGTATACACGAGTAGCGCGCCAGCGCCAGTTTCAGCTCTCGGCTAAGTCCATCTAGTCCATACATCCGGACTATAGTCGGCACCAGTCGGCACTCGGCAGTCGGCTCGGTTCTCACTTGTGTCTGTGTGTGGTCCGTGTGTCGTCGTAAACCGAACGTCGAAACTCGTCACGCCAGTCGTGCTTGGTCGAGTTCGTGTGTGGCGCGTTTTCTCCGTGGACAGTGCGAGGATTCCTTGGTTGCGAGAACATCGGTGAAAGCGAAGCGAAGGGGAAAAGAGGAGGAGGAGAAGGAGGCGGCGGCGGTGGTGGTCAGGTCGCGCCCGGTGGTCAGATCTCAGATTCGTCAGGGGTTTGTCTGCTTCAAGCGAGCGCGCTCCTGCGAGCGGGCGACGGCGACCGAGACGACCGTGAGCTCGTCGTCGTCCAACGCTCAGCGGCGGCGGCAGCGATCTCGGCTGTTCGAAGGAGAGAAGGTACGTTACCGCACGCATACAACACACAACACGTCCTGCCTGCCCTCTTCTGCGCGCGCGAGCGCGCGCTAATGACCCCGTTCTAATCGTCGCCTGGTATCGTGGCCGACTTCGTCGTCGCAGGGGCGACAATACCGATACCGATTCGCGCCGCTCGCACCGCACCACCACCGATCACGGCATATGGCAGTGCGGGAAACGTGGAACTTGTCTCTCCTCGCCTACGGGGTCATATTTGTTTACATCCGTCAATCCCCGAGCGTTCATTCAAGTGGCGGTTCTGTTATTTTTCTCATGATGCACCAACGCCCGCAGGTACTCGAACGTAGGCTGCGGTTTGCCGGATAAACAGGCTCTTGAGCGTTGGGTGCACGCTCGTGTCCCGCTTCCCGCTGCGTCACACAGCCGACCCTTTTGGGCATTGAACGCTGAAGTGAAAATGCGACGAGTATCGGCGAAGGTATTGTGATTTATTAGTTCGACGTTAAATGTCTGGCGTATTTCCTGGGCGAAATGGAGAAAAAGATTGATATTGACAGGTAAAAAAGCTAATTAGGGAAGAAGAGGTACAATAAACCATCGAAGACTTGGAACTAATTCGATGGAATGTTGCTGACATTGCTGATTGTTGGCATTGAAATACCTTGTGCAGCTTTTCTCTCCCCTTTCTCTCGTCTGTGAAGAGAAAATGGTAGTAGAGAGTTTCTTAAGAAGGAATGAGATGGAAATATGAATGACATATATAGAATAGATTTTGATTATTATGTCGATTAATATTATCAATCCCAATTAACGAATATCAATATCCTTTTGTGTATTACCGTGTTATTTAGTTATTATGAGACATCCGAGTAAAATATGAATGAAATAA